GTGTGTGTGTGTGTGTGTGTACTGTCAAATCAGATCTGACTGGTAGAGGAGGAGATTGCCCCTCCTTCTTCAGCAGAGCATCTGGTGGATTTGCACCACATACCTCTGGGATTGCAGTGCAGCTTCTTGCTAGTAGGCCATCAGTGCTCCCGTGGTGTGGTATTTTTAATTGCTTGGCGTGTGTAAAAAGTCAAGGCAATGATTTAAAGGAGACTGATGCCTTTGAATTGTAGGTGGAGTTTCTGAATAGCCCATGGAGAGCCAAGAGACTATCTGTGATGGAAGAAGTATAACCAGGGTGCTTCTTGGAGACAAGCCCAGTGAAATGCTTTAGGCATGCAGGCTTCTAGGAGGGGTCAGTGCTTGGGAAAGGACGTCACGCTGGGAAAAGGGGTCGGCAAAAGGAAGACGCTCGAGGAGATGATTGACACAGAACTGCAAGAGTGGGTGGGAGCCTAGTGTAAACGTCAGGCTGGTGCAGGATGGGGGACTGTTCTCATCTGTTCTTAGGGTTGCACACTGAACAGACTATAGTGTAAACATAACTTTCCATGTGTTGGGAGATCAGACACCTAACTCCCTTGATTTTATATTTGCTTTATGATGGTGCTCTGGAACCGAATCCACAGTCTTTCTGAGGTTTCTCTGCATGAAGAATTACAAGTCCCTAGTTTCCTATTTGCAGCACCTTTTTATCCACGGGGGACTGCACAGGTCAGGTTAACTGTTCTGGGCCACTGAGGATTAGGAGCAGCGAGGCTACACCTCAGTGCAGGGACGGCGGTGAATCAGTCTCCGGACTTCTGTTCTCTGAAAGCTCTCAGGGCCTTGTGTGCTGTGGGCAGTGTCCTCGGTCACCTCACTAGGAGGTGTATCGGGAATGCAGCACCTCCCCTGTGGTGCGCAGGGCACGTGCCACACCTAGGTAACGTGCTTGATGCCAGTACTCCTGGCTGGTCATGAGGACCCACCTGGGAACCAGGTGGATGAGGTCCCTGGCCTCATGAGGATTTTTTTTTAAAATTTGGAACACTTCATGAATTTGCGTGTCATCCTTGCGCAGGGGCCGTGCTAATCTCTGTATCATTCCTGTTTTAGTGTATGTGCTGCCAAAGCGAGCAGTCATGAAGATTTTTTATGTGGTGTATTTGGGAACTGTGTGTCAGACACTGAGTTAGTCCCAGAGGGCAGTGGTTCAAAGACCTTGTTCTGTGTTTTCGAGTCGTCTGCAACACATAGTGACCCTATGTACAACAGCCCTAAACCCTGCTCTATCCCTTGCCAATCTCATTGTCTTCAACACACCTACTCTGTTACCCCAGTTACTGAATCAATCTCATTGATGTTTTCCTCTCCTGCGCTGTCCCTCCACCCTCCTAAGCGTGACGTCCCTGTTCAAGGACTGCCTTGCAGCATGTACAAAGTATGTCAGATGGAGCTTCAGAATGCTTGCCTCCAAGGAGCAGCCTGACTTCACCCTCTCTAGGATGAACTTGTTTGTTCTTCTAACAGTCCATGGTGTATTAAATAATCTCCAGCACCAAAGCTCCAAGGCATCAACTCTCCTGTCATCCCTAGTCATTGACCAGCTCTCTGATGCATAGCAAGTAATTGCAAAGACATGGATCAGGTGCACCTTAGTCTCTAGAGTGACATCGTTGCTCTTCAGTACATTGGAGAGGTCTCTTATAGAGACTTTCCCAGTGCAATTTGTCTTTTAATTTCCTGGCTGCTGGTACCAAGCAAAGAAGACCTTAGGTACCATCAATGAGTCCTAGTGACCATGTGAACACTGAAGCTCTCAGTGCCACTGAGAAGCTGTAACTCCTAGTCGACCTCCATTGGGTCCTTGTTGTGACTCGCAACAGGAGGAGACTATCTTTTTTCCTTGGATTTGAACCTCTAGAGAGGCCTGATCTTTGAGTTAGCAGTGCAGTTTGCTACAGTTATGCCACCAAATTGAAAACTTGGCTGCTTCCTGCTCCATTGTCACAGTCTCCGGCAGGTTTGAGCTCGCTGTGCTAATCCGTCTCTCTGAAGGTCCTCCCTCCCCTCCACCACTGACCTGCTTTACAAGCATGATGTCCTTCTCCAGGGACCAGTCCGTCCTAGTAACATGTCCAAAGTGTGTGAACTCCCCACTGTCACTGAGTAGGTTCTGATGCAGTGATCCTGCATTGGGTTTCTGAGGCCATAATAGTCACAGGAGGGGACTGCCCATCTTTATTCTGCAGAGTGCCTGGTGGATTCAAAACACTGACCTTTAGTCAGCTGATATGCGATGCACTGTGTCACCTGAGGTCCTTGTCAAAGGA